GGTTACACAAGGGTAATTGGACGAGTCTGTTCTACAGCAGACCCATTTCTCCCTTCGGGTCTTCCCGTGTCTCTTCGTCTTGGGCCTTGCCTTTTGCCCCTGCGGCTTTTGCCCTGTGCATTTCGGCATGACGAACTTGCCGTTCGCGATCCTCATTGCCACCTCCTTTAGTGGAGATAGCAGTCTATGTCTAGCGAGACGAATCCGAAATGGCTCTCTGCCTTTTCTCACTCGAGTTTCTCGTCTCGCTAGGTACGCTGTTGTTGTCCATTCTGTTGGCTTTTTCTCACTCGAGTTTCTCGTCTCGATAGTATAGCAGAATTTGCGCACCCGCCCTGTAATCCCTCCCATAGTACGTTGGCATTGTACGATACGTACTTAGTGTTTTGGAGTCGTTTGTCTCCGGAATCCATGGGGTCCCCGCGTCCTCGCGTCGGGGTCCCCTTCGCAAGGTAACAATCTTGATAGCTTTGATTTATCGCTAGTATTACCCTCCCGGCGGCGGCGTACACATTTTGCCATTGTTTGCCACTTGTACTACTGTAACTTTGATTACATAATGTCACACTTTTCTTAGAGGCGTTGCCCATCCCCAATGTCATGATCACAACTCATCCACAACTGTAGTAAATTGAACGGATTTACAGCCATTGGCTCAAAGATCGCTAGTCCACTTCTGAAAGTCTTGCTCAAGCATGTCACAATCTGCTGCATTTGCTGGCTTATGGTCGTCACTTCCAACACCATTAACACCATGGGTGTGAGTTCACCGTCATTTAAACTTCAAGCAGTGAGATCAAAGTTTTCTAGTCTGGACGTTATACAATCGATGGGGCATACCCAAATGACACCTGTTCAAGCTTCCACAATACCGCTGTTTATGCAGCATAAAGACGTCGTAGTCGAGGCTGTGACAGGTTCTGGCAAGACGCTAGCGTTTGTCATCCCTATCCTCGAACGTCTTATCAGAAGGGATACTAGACTTAGAAGAAACGAGGTCGGTGCACTGGTTATCAGTCCTACAAGGTGAGTTTCTGAGGAACTCTTATATTACTCAACGTCTAATCCTGGTCCTCCTTCGAAAGAGAGCTTGCAACTCAGATTCATTCCGTATTCTCTCTCTTCCTGAATGCCCAACCAGACAATAGCACATTGAAGGAGTGTGAGAATGGAGAAGGATCACCGCCACCCCCAACAGACACTGAATACTCAGGAGCAGGATTTCCCCCACCCCTTCTGCTTGTTTCATCAGATAAATCTTCCCCAGCTCAGGATATACAGCGCTTTCTCTCTACTGGTGCTGATATCATCATCGGGACACCTGGACGCATGGAAGAATTTCTTATAGGAAAAGGGAAAACTGTTGTTAGCGTCAAGGAGTTGGAAGTGTTGGTGTTAGATGAAGCAGACCGGTGAGCCTCTCCCGTTTACAGGAGTAAGAGCTTATTTGCTGAAGACGCAAAGTTTGCTGGACCTAGGTTTCCAAGCTGCTCTGACTCGCATCATCACTCATATTCCGAAACAAAGGAGAACTGGTCTTTTCAGTGCGACGATGACAGATGCTGATGCTCTTTCTGAATTGGTTCGCGTTGGCTTACGAAACCCTGCTCGCATCGTTGTCAAAGTTCAATCAAAGAGAACAAAGGGAACGAGTTCGGGAACCTTGCAAGAAAGTCAAATCATCGAGGAAAGGCGGATACCTGCAGGGTAAGGTGTATGTGCTATGTGCTATGTAACATTTCTTACCTATTCCTCTCTCCCAGACTTCAAAATTCCTACATTAGCTGTCTCCCGTCCGAAAAGTTGGTTCAACTGACACGTATAATCAAGCAGGAGTCCTTATCTCATCACGCACCACATTTCATTGTGTACTTTGCGACTTGCGCATGTGTTGATTATTTTTATCGCGTGAGCGTTCTCATATCAACCCTTTGCTCCTGAATTCCAAATGGGATTTAGATTTTACCAACGCTCTTACCATCCAATGTCCAACTCCATTCTCTCCATGGACACCTCCCTCCCGCAGCCCGTACTCGTGCCCTCTCAGCCTTTTCTTCAACTCTGTCATCGTCCTCTTCCCCTTCAGTGCTTCTTGCTACGGACGTTGCTGCCCGAGGACTTGACATTCCTCATGTGGATGTTGTCATTCAGTTCGACCCTCCATCTGACTCAAAAGCCTTTTCTCATCGTTGCGGCCGGACAGCTAGAGCTGGAAGGAGTGGGAAGGCATATGCATTTTTAGTAGGAAGAGAAATTGAGTATATTGGTCTGTTTTCATACGCACTCACATTACATCTTTGAACTGACGGCCGCGTCAATAGATTTCTTGTCTGTTCGAAAAATACCAATCAGGCAGCACCCATACATACTAGCCGATGGAAGCAAAGCACCGGACACGGATTGCCCCTCGACAGAGGATGGTGTCGTCAGTACCTTCATGTCCCAAATCAGACAAACTGTCATGACAGATCGCGCGCTGCATGACAAGGTAGCTGCCTTTTCCAATCTGATATACGTGGCCATTCTCACAGTTTGACAGGCTGTAAAGGCGTTTGTCTCCTTTGTTCGTGCATACTCCAAGCATGAGGCCTCCTACATCTTCCGAATCAAAGACCTGGACTTAATAGGCGTCGCAAAAAGCTTCGGTCTGCTGCGTCTGCCACGAATGCCCGAACTGAAAGATCGTGATAAGTCACAATGGGAAGGCGCAGAACTTGATGTATGTTCAATAGTTCCCAGATATCACACGTACTGATTGCTATGATGAATGAAGTGGGATTCATACTGTTATGCGGACAAGGCACAGGAAGCCAAGCGAGTTGAAGAAAATTCGAAGAAAGCTGCGGTGAAGCACGACTCCGAGACTCGAGCTGCCAAGCGCAAACGTAATGTTGCATGGAGTCAGCAAGCTGATGATAAAAATGACAAAGACAAGCGCCGGACACAAAAAGCGAGAAAAAAGCAATGGCTTAAAAGTCAAAATGTTGTTAGTGGTGACTTAAAAGGCACCCTCCAAACAGGCAGAGCCAAACCAGAAGAGAGTGGCGGAGAGGACGACTGGGACGAACTGGCACGAGAAGAACGATTAGCCAAAAAACTGCGGAAGGGGGCCGTCTCGCAGAAAGAATTCGATCAGGAGTTCGGTGACTTGTGAAAAATAGGCAATTGTCTCGTTCTTGTCTCCTTCCGTACATTCGTGTCCTCCGAGGCACCAAACCATGATCGGCATATCTAGGCATGTAATCATTGTGTCTCTCCCAGCGTCTGAATGGGGCCGAAGTCCCATGCGAGAACGTCGTTGTCGACCGTGCTGCGCATCAATATCCGATTTTCTTCTGACACCGCATCTGGGTGCGAAAACCAAACAAGTACAAATCTTTGACTTCGACACTTGGACTCGACTTTCATCATGGACGAGTCAACACCTCCACCGCCAGATATCGACGCATACACACCCCCACCCCCACCATCAGCATCAACAGGCACACCAACAGATTTCTTGAAAGGCGTGGTCGGGAAAAAGGTCATTGTGCGTCTCACATCAGGTGTTGATTATCGAGGTATCCTTTCCTTTGCCTCGCATCAATCTAGAACCAAGCTTATGTGCGTAGGCGTACTTTCATGTCTAGATGGATATATGAACATTGCGCTGGAGCAGACTGAGGAACATGTGAATGGGGTAGTTACGAATCGATATGGGGACGCGTTCATTCGCGGGAATAATGGTAAGCCGTTTCAGAATGTATGGCTGGATATGCCATGTTCTGATGTGTTCTCGTATACTAGTGTTGTACATATCTGCTGCAGAACCGCTATAATCAGAACCACATTGTACTGTACGAGCATCGCCAAAATCAACGAGTCTTTTCATGTCTGGTCTCGAGTTATCCACAGTCGCTTTGACTCTTATCGTACAACGCGAACATACTTCATGCAGATCCTCGTTATGAACGCGGTATCCCGCAATGCATGTATAACTGGGGACCTGTCTACTGCTGCACAGTTGTTCACACACCAAATCGACGCCGATCCCAACCACTTTGATTTCAATGCCAACCGTTCATAGACTCCAAGAGCCTCGCCCTCTGCGGAACCAAGCAGGTGCACGACGCAATGGCAGAATTTGACCTGACGTTCACGTTCACGAACGCAGACTCAAAGACGACTCGTTTCCTTTTCTTGATCAAGGTAGGTGATTTTCGACTCATACTCTACGCTTCATCATCGTTTTCAGGCTATCGCGTTGTCCAACGTCAATCCCTGCGAACAGACCGTGCTGCCCGTCCAAGAGCTAGCCGCTCATTCTAGTCTATTCTACATAATGTAAGGACGCGGCGATTTCGAAATAATTTGGTGTGACTGCCATGTGCGCGCCACTTGAGCTCCACTTGAGCTCAAACAACTTCTTGAGGCTCCCTTTCATTTCGATCTCCGCATTCTCCTTTCGCACCCCAATGGCTTCTGCGTGCTCTTTTCATGGCGTTGTTGGCATTCAAAATGCTACACCTTACGTGTTCGAATCCAAGAAGAGATTCTGGAAGATGGATGGGTTTGTGCCGCTTTCTGTGGAATCTGCCCGTCTCCATCGGCGGCAAGAACGCACCGCCTGAGGACGGTGTCTATTTTATCAATGCGCAGGTCATTACTACTGCCATAGAGGAAGAAACCGGTTTGAAGCTTTACTGTGTCGATCTACATCCCTCTCTATCCATCTATCCACTGCAGCCGTTTATTCCTAGGATATGCAATCCATTGATGGTGGAAGTGTTGCCTACAATCATCGTCGTCGGGAGAGTTTCCAGACACGACAGACACTGCCTGCCCCGCATTACCTTCACTTTTAATCCAGCGGGTTCAAACTGGACCGTCAATCGAAAGTAGTCTCCGTTGCGTCCGGCTTATGCGACAACGTTCAACAGAAATCCAAGCCTAACGTTACAGAAAGCAGTACTCAACTTGCGCACCGATTTGTTCGCGCACGGACAGCTGTACACTGCACTGTCAAGGTCGTAGAGACATTTAAGCGCTTTTTTGAGAAGGACTTCAAGGAGAGGAAGAGACGTAGTGTACAGGCGGCTGTTATTATAAATCAAGGCACAACCGTCCGAAGGGGACCGGAGCGCTTGTATGCTAGTAAGGACAAGACGTGGTCTGCACAAACATCTGCACAAACTGAGCAATTTGGGATACCAGATCTACCACAGCAGATGGGGCTTGCAGAAACAACAAAATCTGTCAAAACATAGTAGAATATCAAGCTGCGCAGAATTCCTATAAATACAACAGCTTGCTGATCCAACTTGACCTTATCATGTCTCCGTCCTACGTAGGTTCGGTCGCATCTACAAAGAAGCAGTGAGTAACAAGTATGAAGTCGAGTTTGAAGAGGAGAAGCTGACCACTTCCACAAATAATGGCAACAGCTGTGGAATGTAAACCAGATCAGGAGGTCTGAGCATGTCTGTGGATCCCTTCGATCTACGCGGTGGGTGATCTAGTGTACGCTGAAGGTTTTCCGCGGAACGTGCAGTTAGGGTGGGGGGAGGTGGGGGTAACGGTTTGTCCGCACGACGAAGTGATGGCGGTAATGGCGGGACAGGAGGGACATCTTTCCAATTCGACTGATGGGGGAAATTGGCAGATTTCGTGCTCCGTAATGAGATGGATCGCTGGCGGGTAGAAGGGGGAGGTTGTTGCACAGGTGGAGGCGTCAGCGGGCGTTGCGGGGACGACACATGCGGAGATGGCCTAGCTGTTTGCACTCGGGACCGAGTTGGAGTTGGCCCTTCCTCCTCGCTCTCCTCGCTCTCGGCATCTTCGTAGCTCCCCGAACTTTCTGTTTCGTACTCACTAGAAGACTCATCGCTTTCATCATCCGTTTCCTCCGCGGCAAGATCAAGAGCATCACTTTGAACCAGTTCCCCGAAATTAATTTCGCCTACCACGCTGTGCACCAGGGCCTGCGTGGCTTCATCTTCGGCGTCCGCGTCATTATGTCCCTGAGCCCGCGTGAAACGCCTGCGCACTTTTTCTTCGTGTGCGATCTTCAGCTTGTAATGGTACCGAGCTACCTCGTCTATCTCGTTCACCATATTCGTGCGCTCTTGCCCACCGTGGGGAAGTAGCCATTCAAGCGACACCGGTGATCCCAGACCTTCCCGGACGACAGTAAGGAATTTTTCAATCCATTGCATCAGGTTTTCAAACAAGCCCTTCCCGTTTGCATGTACCTTGTGCACGAAAGAGTAAAATGCTTGCTCATGCCGGCCGACGAGATCAATAAAGGTTTGCACGGTGGCCTGGGGATCCTCTTCGCTCACTAATCGCTCGATGGTTAGGCTTTCTCCGTTAAGAATCGGCGCGAAGAGCTTACTTTCTTCCGTAGCCTCGACGACCCTAATTAAATCGGTGATGAAATTCTGCAGATCTGATACAGAATTTCCAATATTGGCAGCCCGGTATACTTGAGCTAATGGCGCATAAAAAATGGAGATGATATCCTTCAACAACTCAGCGGTAACACCCTGGGAGTGCGTCAGTGGAGATACTGACAGTTTGTCAAGGAGGCCGACCTCGAATATTAGTGCAATCAACTGTTCCCGATCTCTCAACCGGGAATAAAGCTGCACGAGCATCTTTAGATCCTCAAACAGCCATGCCTCCTCGTTGGTTGGCCCATCGTCATCGTCTGAGTCCACAAGGTTTTCCCGCTCCCTCAGATATGCCGCGTGTGCAAGATGCGCCCGGTGCACTCTGCGTAATTGGTCACGATTTAACCTGGGTTCTTCTCCAGATCGCAGAACGACAACAAGTACGGGGACTTTCCCGTTCTTTGCATCCGTTCGATACGTATCCTGGATGTCGCGCGGGGCGTTGACAAATAGGCGGAGCTTCTCACACATGACAGGGTCATCAACTTTGGCTTTTACAGCCTCGATATCTTCTTCGATAATTGTGACCTCTTCCGTAAGAGAGCTAGAGAACATTCTGGTAAAGCATTAACAGGCTGGTTGACCGGTTAAATTCTGGACTACCGTTGAAGGAGACTTCTTCCACCGAACGGAGTCGCCAGAAAGATGTCCACCACGCCTAGCCTTCATCAATACATCAGTCATGAGAGGGTATATGCACCTTACTGCGTATCATGGCAACTGGACTGCTTATCTTGAGCGCTGTCCTTAGCAAAAAGTAAGGCATCAACCCATGTAAACGTTTCATGCTTGCGAATGTTTCCGACGCAGTATCAGACGCAACGAACATTTGGAAGATCGTCGAGGCTAGCCTACCAAAACGATTAGTTATCTGATTATTGAAAAGAACGTATATGCACGTTATTCTGCCCCATTCTGTCACGGCCCGATAATTAGGAGGTAATTGGTTTATGTCGGGAGTCACCTTAATTATGGTGAAGATATGACTGAGTCCATCTATGAATGTGTGAGATTGGTGATAAGCAACCCCTGAAGTTGACAGACCTTTCCCCATGATATCACCCTTGACGCTCTTCACTGCATCTCTTAAACCATCGACACGAGCAGCAATTTCGTGCGCAAACCGTTTCCTCCCATTTTCACGAATTCTATCTGCGTCTTCCCTTCTCCGAGCATCTTCTACCTCTTCAGGACTCAAACTAGTAGGTCCGCTGAGTAAGAAAGATTTGAGCACGGGAGAGCTCCCGATTACCCTATTGTTCATGAGAGAGTGCAGATAAGCTCTAAGGGTCAACCTATTCTTTTCCCGGGACAGCCGCGGTGGAGATCTCCCATTCCAGGACTGATGAGAAGACGAAGAGTGCGGGAGCGAATCAGATGAACCATCCGAGAACGTGGCACTGCAATCGGAGAGGGTTGTGCGTTGCATCCGCGATATTTCTGGAGGAGAGGTCGAACGCGGAACATTGACGATCGTACGATCTTTGACGGGCGGGGAAGGTACCATCTCTTCAGGATGAAATTTGCGCAACTACACAGGAGACGTGATGGGCTGTGTCAAGGATTGAGGTGCACAAATCGTACCTCATCTGCAAGCGTTTTGAAGTCGCCATACCTTCGAGACACGCAAACCTCACTATCTTCTGATAGCCGAGTCCTGATGATGAATTCCTATACGAGGTGATGAGGACATCGATGATTGATGATCGATATATGCCAGCAAACCTCGTGAACCCGACTGCGGACTCGACCCTTGTCTGTGATATTCCTCACACATACAATATTTACTTCGAATACGTCGCGATGTTTGGCTAACTGTGCCTGCCGCTTCTTAGCGAGTTGCTCGAGGCGATCAAGATCATGTTGGTTGAGCCGAACGACCTCTTCTTTCTCTGCTAGCTTTGTACCAGCGCTGAAAAATAGGGCAAAGTTCCGTTCCATACTGTCAAGCAGTTTGAGGCGAGCAGCCTTGGGTTCGTTTTCATCCTCAAGTAATGAGGTGGGGGATATGTTCTTCGCAAGAGCGGAAGCAACAAATACTTGTAGTTTATTTGGATAGAAACTTTTATCTGCAGCTGCGAGGAGGGGGAATGTTAAAACAAATTGGCGGAACATATACTTCAAGAAGGGTAAATCAAGGGGCTGAGCACCCATTGGGGGCGGCGTAAACGGGGTCCCAAGGTATGCAAGGGTGGAGCCACCATCATCAGGTGCGTTTGTTATAAGATTTAATTCTTTGCGGAATTGAAGTTGTATTAGTGATTTCTTCAGGTAGTGAGCTCGGAGAGGTGTCAGAGCCAAATAGCGCTCCTCGGAAGGAACAGGATCCTGCGGATCATCATCAGTTGGCTTTGGAACAGAAGGTATCTGACGAGTTGGTCGACGTGGCCGATGCTTTGAAGTTGAGAAAGAGATTTGAGGAGGTGGTGTGCTCATGACAAGGAACGTTGGAAGCCCGCAGTTGACCAGACTCCAATGTAAGACATCAATATACGGCCATGATATTACGTACATCATGGCTGGCACCGCCACTCTAGGGGCTATTTCTCCTTCCCTGTACAAGTTAACTACTGCTCGGGGTATACACTTTGGATCCTCTATACGTTCTTCTGTGAGGCTCATCAAGTAACTTCTTAAGTTTAGCAGCAACCTCCTTCACACCCTGGCGACAATCTTCCATGCCCCGCCAAGTTCCGGCCACACTCCAACATTCAGAACACGCTTTTGATGCCTCGTTGACTGTGTCAAGTTCCAGTTCCCCTCTTGAATGTAACACAACCATAATATCGACAAGACGATGGAATCCAGTACACCACGTCTGGATACCACGGTCGGAATTGGTGCTTGTATCAGTCACAAGGTATGACGATGCGAGCCCAATCGCCCGACGTAACATGGTTTGGTCGATAACGCCTGACTGTTGTGTCATACGCTTTACAATATGAATCACAAAACGGCCATAATCTGTTGGCTGGCTTTGTCTTGGCTGTTTTCGTGTTTAGAAACATTGAATTATGAATTATTTTGAACTTACCTCCATCTCTACCTGAAATTGATTGAGCAATGATCCTGTGACAAGCATCGACGGATCCATTGTCAGTGTCTGAACGAAAGAGGGAGGGGATGATAACACCCACAACTTTCTTGCCTCCTTCATGAGGTCTACTGCGATCTAGAGCGAATTAAGTGGCGCCCTCCTCCGGAAATTACCGAACCCCGGACTTCTTTCCGAAAGTTCCCAGGTATTCTTTAACTTCACTAAGTCTCCGAGGCTAAGTAGCAAGCCATGGCAAGTCTTCTGGTTAAAATTCTGGGTGCTATGACGCCCCCACCTTTTACACAACCAACAGACTATGATGGTTGGGAAGTCAAATGGAAATTTCTGGTTTTTCGTCCAGGACGTATGTGCTTGGATTCCGTTTTTTTTCCCTAACGTACTCGTGCTCACTGCATGACGTAGTCTTTCAAAGCCAGGCGTATCTTTTAGCTGGATTGTTGGCGTATGTAGCCATAGCTATCTACGGCAAATATGTCAATTTTAAAAGAGCCAATTCCTGGTATGTCTTAAATCTTAATCTACGCCGTCTTTAACGCACTTTCAGGTACAATGCTCACCTCACACTCCTTCAAGACCAATTCTCTTCACCTACATCTGCCTCAGGGCTCATAGCAGATGGGTACACGGACTTGTTCAATTTTTCCACCGGTCGACGTGCTATTGCGTCTCTGCACACTGTATTCTCACTTCGCCCACGTCAAGATCCACTGCAACTTATCTATCATTTCGGCTGGCAAATGTACGACCTCAGGTACAATCCATACGATGAACTCACTCTGGACTTCAAACTCGACGCGGAAATGGCTGCTAGCATCCCAGATTACGTATGGGCTGTCCTCGCAAAGGATGAATTCACAAATATCAAGGACAAGCGCTGGGATTTGGTTAGCCTCATACCCTACAGTCAATTTATATTAAATTTACATGTCACAGACGTTCACCCGTACCGCCGATCATGCCTCACTTCCATCCTCGCTCTCCGTGATGACCGAATGGGCAGATGTGACTGACAACTTGTTCAAGGCTACTCCCACGCTATCACTAACCAAGCTCCTTTCGGACCCTGTTAATCTCAAATACTTCAAATCTCTTTCCGTGACGGACCAGCCGCGTGAACGCCCTGCTGTCCCCCTTACACCTGCCGAACGCGAGAAACACGTCATCTTGTGTCTGGCTGTTCCCCCTGCAAACAAGGCCGCCGAGACCATTCCTCTAGTCTCGGCTATGTTTACATTTATTGACGGTTTAACGAAGATGAATTTGCGGCCAGAAACCCGTTCTAAGATGAAGAAGGTCCGAGAGGATGTGGACAAGGAAATCCGGGAAGAGGCTGTGAAGGAAAAGAAGGAGGAAGCGGCCGAGGATAAGAAGGCCGCTAGGCGGAAAGCAGAGCTAGAACGCGTCTCACGCCTGAGTGCTGCAGAACAGAAAAAGGTTAGTCTTTGCATATCGGGTTCTACTTCCTTGCTCACCACTTGCGCATCAGATCATTGAGCGTGATCGGAAACGTGCCTTGAAACGTTCACAAGGCAAGGTGGTGAGGAAATCATAAATTATCCTATTAAGATCACATGTAGGAAGGACTATTGTACATAAAAATATTGTTCCATATATCCTTGACCAAGTAGTAGCCCATTAAATAATGTGGAAGTAAGATATTATGAAGGTAATGACGGAGAAGTGGAAGAACCGCTGGTCCGAGAATCCGTAGCAGGGACACTGCTGTCGCGGGACTGCGCATGAGACTGAGATGGTGACGCCTGCACCCCACTTTGACCCGCCAAGAATCCCAAGCTTGCGGTCCATCTAGTAAGGAACTTGAGCAGCCACATTGGTTGCATCAAAGCGTCCTTGTGTTCATCATCCTCTTCCGCCTGGCTCATCTCGTCATCCGTCTCATCACCAAGCACCCGCAAATCTCCCAACCCAGCACCTGCACGACGTTCCTCCTCCGCCTCGCTCTCCGTCCGTCCCCATACATCTACCTCTCGCTCCTGGCCGCCAAGCGTCCACTGCTTCCGTCGTCGCTTTCTCGAGCTAACGGTGTCTGATCCAAAAACTTTACCCCTAAGCTCGAGCACTTTTGCTCGAGGCGCAATTGCTGCATTCCAGAGGTCTTGCCGTCTGAACTGCCCCGCCTCGTAGTCAAGAGCTGCGACTTGTTGACGACTACTGTGTGCTGCGACCTTTGCGTCTTCCACGCGTTGCAGGGCTTCGAGTTGGCTCGATAGATTAGATAGAAATTCGCGATGATCTCTATCATCGTTTAGGAGAGCCGCGTTGGTCGCTGCCAGGTTTGAAGATACATGCTAGACCGGTCCACGTTGTGATGAGCGGGTATCCAAAGAACTCATGAACACAAACGCTCACCTCGAGGCAAGCAAACATGCATTTCAAATGCTCTTCTCGCCGATGCATGACTAATAGGTGGCCGCAAAGGTCTACATCGATTCGCATCCATTTGAAAGGAAGGATTCGAAGGTCTCGAAAAGCATCCAGGTCATGAAAACTATGCCGTCTGCCGCGAGTATTAGCACATAATACCTTTATTGGGTTTCATCTGCCTACCTCCGGATATCAGGTCTCAACATTTTCGTCTTACTCTCCGCCTCGCTCTCTCTTTCAGTAGATTTATCAACAGACTTTCCCTTTTCTTCTGCATTTCCTACACCCGACCAGCTAGACACGCGACTCTCGTCTCTAGGTCGTCTGGGATGTCGAGCAAGGAAGGACTTCACACGGCGATTGTACTCTGGATCATCCTTGTTAAGGTTGGACGTGGATCTTTGCGCGGTGATGGATGCATCAGAAGGGTCAAGTATGAACGGGTTGTGTGTCTTTGCGATTGCTAGGATTGAAGCATCAGATCACAGTCTAGCCAAATAAGTCACTTGTGTACATACAGATGGGTGATACCTGGCCGCTGCTGGGGAGGTCCTCGTCATCTCCGCTATTCCTACCTCTTATGATTGAGTGTGAATCTTTCCAGACAAGGGATGGTACTCACGGGGATAACACCACAGACGGTACGGTCAAAACACTTGTATCGGCATACAGGTGGCCTGATAAAGACGATTGTGCAGACAACGGCACTGCTATCAACGATGAGCGCCCTGCAGATCTCAATGGAGATGATAGATCTATCGATCTCTTGGACCGATTGATGCTATAATGAAGGTGTCAGCCCGGAGCGGAAGAATCTAAGAAGCTACTGACCCAGCCCAGAACTCCAATTTCTTCTGAACCTTTCCAGACCAAGCACCTCCGAAGGTAAGATCATTGTCGTCTTCGCCTGGGCTCTTCACTATCCCCAAATCGTCCACATCACTTGACGTAAGTCGTTCCTTATCTTTTTCTCGTACCTTCTCCCGGGTTCTGTGGAATGTTTGCGTGGGTCCTACTGCACGCGCCCGTAAACGAACCGCTACCTCCACTCTACCGGTCCAAAGGGCACGCACGCTACCGGCTACCCGTTCCTTCTCATCCACTTCGTCGGGTTTCTCGTCCTTCCTAACACGCTCTCTTTCCAATTTGTTTTTCTCGGCCCTGGACCCAACTTTCTCATGCTGTTTATCACGCCCTATGACAGCTCTGACGAACGTGCCTAGGTCCGCCACGGGTACCAATACACCCTCCGCACCAGCCACGCCACCGCGCCCCACAAAACCTCTGACACGTCCGCTTAACCCGCGTCGCTCATCATCAGATGAGTTCGGCTCAGAAGTAGGGTCAAGAGTTGATAAAATGATGCGTTGCACACGTCGTGAGTCAGAATGCTTAAGCCTTGCCTCGTGCGTGGAGGTAAGCGCATTGTATAAGTGAAGGTTTAAATAAGTTGAGAGCGCTGGTTGAGGAACTGAGTAACTTGCACCAACGGAAGGCGATGGCGAGCATATGGAGACTGCCGGCGACGCCGACAATCCAGGTGAGGAGGCGCCTGATATTGTGATTAGCAGAGGTGTCTCCATGTGCGAAAGCGTTGGCGACGAATGCATTCCATTATTAGGATGCGAGCTGATGCCCAATAACTGAGCCTGTGCACATGCACTAATGCAAGCAATTAACACGTGTGGATGTAGGAATGGATCCTTCGGCACTGCTTGTGCAAGGGACGCAAGTTTATTTCGCGCTGAGAGCACAAATGAAAGCAGTGCCGCAACTGCAGAGGGGTCAGCAATACGTTCAGTTGCCTGAAAGTGCTTAATTTGGCCAAGGTCTCAATATAATGAAAGGGTAGTTTCACGGACCTCAATACCTGGAAGGCTCTCTCCTACTTCCACCATCCATTTTTGCAACCCATCTATGGTGACATCACAAAGTAGGCCATCCAACATAGGTAGGGAAGTCAGTGGGAACATTCCACACACAGACAATGCAGCTTGCATCAGTTTCACCAGCTCTAGAACAGTAGCTGCAAAGTGCGGGTGACGCTGCGATTGCTGTGCATTAATATTAGACGTGCTGTGCTGCGGAGAGGCGCCAGTGTACAATGACTGAACATGCGAAGAAGAGCTGTTCAATGTGTCAGGGAGGATAAGGGGGCTCGGAGAATGCGAGAAAGTGCGAGGCTGAACACGTGAATTCGGAGGAGATTTAGAGCGAAATGGATGTGTCGTGGACGGAGTGTCAGGAATCAAGTACAATGATTTAAACCGATCCTTTGTCGTCTCGCTACGAAATAATGAGCGAACACATAAGTCGATTGCCCAAACCTTACCCAGGTTCTTCGAGCGTAACAGCACTTCGGCCACTGCACCCCATTCGCAGCAGATTGATGTTGCAGTACAAGCGCTCCTGTACTGCTAGAAAGTCACCATCGGGAATCTGCACGATTGTATAATCAGACCGAAAGTTTGCCAAAGAGGTGACCATCAGAATGCCCATGGGCGTCTAAAGCGTATACATTAGCACTAAGCGAGTATACCGCCCAAGTGCCAAGGTACCTGTTTTGGTCGGGCCCCGTCTTTGCGAAGGTGTTGTACAGAGAGCTTGAGTTCTAACTCTCCCTCCTCGTGTGTCAAACGGTCAGCAGGCTTAAGCACGGTGACAGTAACCTGGAGCCATAGCAAGGGGGATGAACATTGCTCCCTGAAGTTCAGGGTTACATTACAAAAACATACCTTATGGGAAGGGTCTCCCGTATACACTATGAGCACTGTAACAGGGCGTACACGCTCAACTATCCTATGCGTCAGTCAACACACGGCGAATTTCACACAAAGACAACCCACGAACCACTTCTCGACTGCATACATCTGATAACCCTGGAGCTCGACACGATTCTCAGCAATTTCAAAACGAGACTCCCTCCCAATCCAGCGCTCCCCGACAGAATCCTCGCTCACCCCTGTCCCCGTATTGAATGCCGCGCTTGTCATGATGGCAGTTGCCGAGCCGGAGCGCGAACGAATTAATTTTGATGAGGTTTGCCTTCGTGTTGGTGGGCTTGGGGGATATTGTGGTATGCACAGAGGTGCGGGCGGGCGCACAGTTGGCATGAGCAACCGTGGTGGGCCTCGGATTGAGTTCGCCATGACTCACGCTGAGCACTGACGTCCGAGGGCGCAGTGGAATAAGCAGTTCGGAAGCGTCACACTTTGGCTAATGAGGGCGTGACCCCGGTGTGACAGGACGGGCGCCTGGCGGCAGCTCGGGGCACTTCGTAACTACTCCTTACACGCGCACAATTTTTTTGTTCGCAAAGGTAAGTCAGGGCAATCACAACCTTCCCAAAAATAAGGCCGTTGGGGTGAAGCCGGTGAAGACTGTCAAGGTACCATCAAGCATATATAGTCCTTCAGGTACTCCAACAGAAAAAAAAAATCAAGCTAATACAGATTCCAGTATCCGATGCAGAAGTAGTAACCAAGTGAAGAATACGGGAATACACAGAGCGCATGGGTAGGATACACTCCAACAGTGCGGATGATATGGTACGTGGGTAGAGTACGTGATACATATTAAACAAACTTCATTGTTTTTTCGTTCATCTCCTTCACGGTGATCAGGCTGATTCTATGGTGTAGTAAGAAAATATGATGTGAAGGAACAAGGCTAAATTACAATGCATCCACGCGAAAACCACCTAACCATCGAGTCACAGTCAAGAGCGGGATAGGGGTAAAATAAGGTGCAGCACCCACCAATTACTATTCAACTGTTCGATCCAGCCTACGACCATCCGCAGACGGAGTCGCGCGCTTTTAATGGGTAACAATTTGGCCTTTTCATGCTCATCTATCGGGAGCACCATACCTATCCAGAAGGAGAATGCATCAGGGTTCTCGTCAGGCGGCTGCGGACCGTATGTGTGGTTTAGACGCTGAACTACCCACGGTGCAGTACCTGCACGCAGCTGCTCCAGAAACGTGTGACACGTTTGAAGGAGCGCGGCGGTGCTCAGAGGTGGATTAGTGGGAGAAGGTGGTGACAGGTTCGACATGATGCGCGAAAAAAGTTGTGGAGATGATGGTGCATGACCCGAGGCGCTAGAAGCAGACGATGATGATGCGGATGACGAAGAATCAACGTTCTCCTCGATCTCAGACTCCCAGTCATCAGAAAGGTCTTCATAATCGTCGATCCGTTCCACTCTTCCGATCATATACCCATCTAGAGATCCGCGTTCGAGTATCCTGAACCGATGCGTGCCCCGGGTTTCCACCATGCTCCGCCCGTCTGGCAGCATCTGCACACTGCGGATCTCAAGCATGGTACCAAAATCTGCACCCGCATCAACGCCGAGACTGGCAACAGGTGCTGCACGTGGAGGCATTATCATGCCCAAAGTCGGTGTTGGAGCCTCGAGACAACGCCTGAGCATAAGCCGGTAGCGTGGTTCGAAGAAATGCAGGAGTGTTGGCATTCCCGGAAAGGATAGTTGGCAAACGAAAATTGGCGTGTCTAAACGTGCGTCGCGCTCTTCTGTCGCAATTGCTTGTCCCCTTGCGTCATAGGACTCAGGGTAAGCTTTGAGCACTGCACGTTGACAGGAAATTAGATGAATGTAAGAGCCACACGTAATTTACTAACGAAGAGCAAGGACAACTTTGTTATACGAGTGTTCATGAAAGTAAGCGAAGCCAGGTAATTCCACGCGACATAGTGGACATAACAAGCTATGATCTAGCGATCTCTGTAAGCATTTAGAGCAAAAAGTCTGGCAGTGCTGTCGTCAGGGTTCTTTCATACAGAACAGGAGTTGTACACACGTACATGTTGACAAGGCGTTGTGATAGGCTGGTAAAGCAGCATAAAACAGATCTCGCACGTCAACTCCGTAGTGAGGTTCTTGTCAAATTCGGCTAGCGATATAGCCTCAGGGTCAGAAGGATGAAAATCCGGTAAATGTGAATCGGACGTATGACGTCGACGCCGCTTCCGTGGTCGAGAAGAGCCTGTTGACGTAGGGGAGGAGCCAGAGACAGGTGTCACGGGACGGTCAGTCGATGACGGGGACAACGGAAAGGCGACCGGCTCATGCTGTTCGCTATCGGAATCGTCTCCAGAGTCAGAATAGGTGTCCACGAGGTGGTCAGACTGCTCGGCCTCATCCTCTGCGGCCTTGATTACTAATTCCACCAGCTTTCTCACTTTGACATCAATTCTTCGTTCAGCTGGTTCAGGAGAACTCGTACGGCTTTCGGTAGTCGCTGGAAAGAACGCGACTCGAGAACCAGGTGGAATAGTAGGCGTGAAGCTTGCTGGAGTAGATGAACAAGTTGGGATTGGGCATAAATCTGAGGACATATGTGATGAACAGACGGTGTGACCACATCGTAGAGTGGTTGGGTCTGTTAGAGGACGAGATGACGAGCAAAGAGGACAGTGGAGAAGAGGGAGAATGACCTTTGGAGAAGGATGGTCCATAACTTTCCAAAGATCTGTTACTGGGGCTGCACTGACGAAGAGCAATGAAGAAGGGCTATGCGACCATTATATGAGCACACGAAATGAGAGGAATCTAGACTTACGAGTGCCAGAGTTCATCAGCAATACTGTAAGGATGGATGAAAGACGAGCTTGAGGGTTCGTATAGATTTGCTCCGCGGCAAGACAAAAGGCAGTTTCTTACCTCAGGCGAACAGGACGATTCAGTATGCAGCAGAGCGAAGATCCAAACTCGATTCAAGCGTTCAATCAAGAGATTCACGATGTACTCCCGGCTACACTTGCCACGCCCAATTTAAACGTTATTCGTTTTAATCAACTCATGCTGCAACAGATCGCCGATCCTGGCCCTTCCAATGATGACCTTCGCACACTCCTCCTGTCCTGACCGGAACCGCCACAACTACTGCATATGTGTAACAATACTTTAGGACATACAATCATGGCTACCGATTTCCAGAATCATGAAAGACACATGCAAGTCAATTTACGAAAGTATATCACTTTTCCTACACACCCGAACCTCGTGCAACCAGAAGATAAACCGATTCTACTACTACTACACATCCTCATTCACAAACTAGACACGTTCGTCGTGGGCCAGCTGCTGTAGCGTGATTCCAGTTAGCATCGTATGCTTTCCGAATCGGGCCACGTGTATGCTTACTAGTCCTCTCCTGTGCCACGCTTGTAGCCCAGCTTCTCAATGAAACTATCAAGCTCCTTAGGTCCCCGAGAGCCATATGGGTAGGGCGAGGGCTTAGGGCGTGGTCCTTCTCTCCCATCTATCCAGTGCAGAATGGGAGTGAAAATCTAGTACATTGGCGATCAATCGCACTTCTCGACTATGGCTTGCAGCAGCATGCTTACCTTCCATGCAACATCCAGTTCGTCATCTCGGACAAAATTCGAGTGGTCACCCTTGATCGCATCCAGGATGAGTGCCTCATATGCCTCCGGAATATTTGTGTCCGTGAATCGCCTCTTGTATGTAAGGTCCATCTCAGTCGGAATTGCGCGGAACGCATATCCAGGCGTCTTGGTGTTCAGTTTCAGATAAACGGCCTCCGATGGCTGAATGCGGATAACGAGTTCGTTGCGTGAAATATCCTTGAAAATTCCACTTGTGACATCCTTGAATTGCAAGCGAATTTCAACCTTTGCCTCATTCAAGGCTGAAGTACATAATTTGTCAGGGGCTATTGTATGAGTGTAATCCGAGACAGAACATACCCTTTCCCGCCTTCAAGATAAACGGAACGCCTTCCCACCGCTCGTTATTAATCCAGAGCGTGGTAGCAGCAAACGTTGGGCAGACAGAGCCTTTCGGCACAGTGTCGTCATCCAGGTAACCTGGCTTCCCATTGGCTCCGACATATTGGCCTAGAAGCACGTCCTTCCGTTCGATAGGTGGGATGGAGCGAAGCACCTTGACCTGGGAAGAACAAGCCAGCGTGAGAACACAAGAAATACTTCTAATGCGCAGGGATAACCTTCTCATCCCGAATGTCCTCCGATGCAAACGAGACAGGTCGTTCCATGGTCAAGATACTCAGGACCTGCAACAAATCTGAGTGCACACATGCATTAGCGTGGCAGCCCCTTCCCACACAAACTCACAGGAGACTCACGGTTTTGCAAGATGTCACGGATGATGCCAAATTCGTCGAAATAACCACCACGGCCCTCTGTGCCAAAGGGCTCCTTGAAACTGATCTGGACGCTGCTGATTGAATGCTTGTCCCACGCAGCGCCCATAGCGACGTTGGCGAAACGGAGGACCAACAAATTCTTCACCATCTCCTTGCCGAGATAGTGGTCAATACGATAGGTCTCCTCCTCTTGCCACGACTGCTTGAGTGAGGACAGGAGATCCCTGCAGGATTGAAGATCCTTGCCAAAGGGCTTTTCAACGATAATGCGATTGGTTCCATTTGTCGCGTAGCAGCACACTTTGACATGTTGTGCGACAGGAACGAACACGGACGGCGGGAGGGCAAGGTAAAAGAGGCGATTTACACCGCGAGTTTTATAGCCCTTCTCGATAGCCTCCATGTGTCTTGCCAAATTTTGGAAAGAAGCATTATCATCATAGTTGCCAGAGACATAGGAGGATAATTTCTTGAATTCCTCGATTTTGGCGGCGACTTCAGGATCGTTGTTAGGGTTCTTGATGTAACTAGTGGTGCGTTTGTGATACTCCTCTTCATCCATCTTTGTTCGTGCATAGCCAACGATATGGACATCTTTAGGGAGATAACCGTTGCGGTAGAGACCAAACAAAGCTGGGTACGTCTATCGGGGTGCTCAGGATCGTCTAGGGGCGATGACAAAAGAGCATTCGCGCCCACCTTTTTCTTTGCAAGGTCACCGGAGGCACCGAATACTAGATATGAAGAGATTTGATTCGGGCGGTGATGGTGGCGGGGACAGGGGGGACTCACCGACGATGATAGTGTTATCTTTGAATTCGTCACCGCTGGTCTCCATGGATGGGATCGTACCAGACCTTGTGCGTGTCATTGAGGCCATGATGTTGACCGAGAAAGATATGTGTTGAAGAAAGATAGATGCAGGGGCTTTAAGTTGTTCTTAAACTTATTGACGTGAGTGTGAGAAGACTGTCAATGTAGTAGTGATGGAGTGAATAGATGTAAATTTACATTACCGTGAGGGGCCGTGCGTTCGTCAGCGTGAGGCTGGACAGGCTATGCACACCGGGATGATGGAAATCTCTGTAATCGTCTAGTAGCTGATTCAACGCGCGGCTTACTATTTCACCTTCCCATCATCACGGACTCATTATTCGGTCCGCTCCTGACGAATCAAACACGTGCTCTCTATAGCCTTAGTCTTTCGCCATGGCAGAAGACCAAGCCATAAAACACTTTCAAGAGCTAGTCTCCTCTGACCTGACCATCGTAGACCCAACGTCTATTCAAATCCGTGCCAATGCTTTAGTAGCTCGTCTCAAAGCCCTCAATAGAAATGCAAATGCTGCAACAAGAGCATGCAAGCAAGCAACCACAGAGGCCCGCCATGACATGGATCAGACACATCTTGGCCTCCAGAATCTGCTTTATGAAAAGCGTCATCTAGAGAGGGAGATCGACAAGTGCAGGCAATTCGCGTTTGTTGTTCTTTGTCTGTCCCTGCAATCTGTGCTGACCGTTCGCACAGTTCCATTTACCAGGACGTACCCTTGTACTCCCTGTCAGAGTTCAAAACTCTAGCACCACCTGAAGCGCGCTCAGATGATGTGCTGCAGAATGTTCATCAACTAATGCTCAATCGCCTAAGCTTCGAGCTTGTCGAAAGGCAAAGGCACGTTCAATAGATAATCTACCGTATAGATCTTCGTGTCTCATCATTAACAACAGACTCGATCAAAAAAGAAAAGAACTCACAGCACAGAAGGAAGAACTCCTTAAGCATAGCAAGCTTAAGCTCGCAACCGTGGAAAGTGTCAAAACACAAATAGAATCACTCATGAAGGTGCGAACAATCTTCTGTCTTTTCACTCCTGCACTCACGTTGTTTCAACGAACGTTTTGCAGGCCGCCGCAGACATACAGAAGAGAGTCGATGAACTCGTACCGGCGCTCCCACCATCTACAGCAACGACTCCCGCTCCTACTTGAATATTACTTGCCGAATCCACTCCCGAGTTACCGAATGCCTCTCATCAGTCCCGCGGTTGTCTAAGCAAAATACATTATGACACACAGTGAAGTTGGCACTACACAATCCCTAATTATACAACACGGCAAAAGGGATGAGATGTTTCCAACCATTGTCCAGAGGTGATAGGGATAGAGGTCATCAAATATCAAAAAGACGAGCGAAGAGGGTATCCCCGCGAAAGGACGAATTGAATGATGATGGCAGATAACAACACAGAATTGAGCAAGGTTAGGTGAAGTACAGAATGGATATGTTATGTAAAATGATATGAGTGATGTGTGGAAACTGAGTGATGTGCAGAAACCCAGTGATGAAAAATGCGAGAGAAAGGCATGCCGGCGGAAGAGGTATCAGGATTCTTGCTCTTCATCCTCACTGATGCTGCCGATGTCGCTCATCTCCTCGTCTGCTTCGTCTTCATTGCCGTCTTCTGCGGCATCCATAATATCCTTTGTTGCGAAACGTTGTACGTACTCTGAGCAGGAATGAGCGTTATGTTCTTGGCGACGATAGGAGGAAATAATCTTACCCTTGACCTTGGCCTCGTATTCCTTCGGGTGTCGCATCATGAGCGCAGCAGCTTCTCCGTTTAGTGGATCATTAGGATTAGGGTACCGCAGCAGTTGTGGCAAGAACACCTCGAAAATGTTGATCATATCTATGAAAGGGGACAGATCAGCGACATAAACGGACGTGCGTCAACCGCACCGCATACCGAACATTGGCGACCACGTCTGATTAATAACGTCCAGACATACGGAGCCACTCCTGTAATGGGAACGTATAAATCGACATTTCGGGAAGCATCGCGATAGTTACTGACAACTCATCTATGTTGGGATGAAAGATCTTGTTCATAAATCCTATGCTTGGCGACTTGTATGGATACTCCGCTTGCAACTCTACATGAATCTTCCATATACCACCCGCGAAGGGTGCTGGTGCTGATTAATCCGACGTGCACGGAAGAGTGATTAGGAAACGTACTTTCTCCCGGACCATAGAAGCGGACGTAGAACTCGCGCATGTTGTCGTTGACGAGGGTTACCTCGTAATCCGACATGAGCCTGGATTGTGAATCGTTACATCAGTGAGGGTACGAGTCACCTTGAGGCAGGTGGTCTTTACAGTTTCATGACATCTGTCTCGATACGGCGCTTTGTTGAGGTGTGTCTAGAATGAAACCAAATAAGTTTGAAGCGCAGCTTTCTGAAGAACAGACTTATCATGTTTACTAGAATACAAGATGTATGGGTTTGTGGAAGACGCAAAGACTGAAGTCACTTAGACAATCGCTGGCGACTGGATGCAATATAAGGCTAATCTAGTGGTACGTCTAATACCGTGGTGTCGGAGATATTCATTTCAAGTACCGAGAAAAGCCGGGTCATAACTGTCATTATATTCCAATTGATACTCCCCTGGAGTAGACTCTACAACAACGCCGCCGTAGAAAACAAGATATACACTCGAAGATTAGTTTTACAACTTCGTCACACTCAAGACGCCCCGTTACTCATCCGCAATCCATACAGACCGACAAATACCAGGATCGATGTACATACTCAGTAAAAGGTCCACTCCTCGACAACACAATAAGCATCATTCGGGTCGCATGGGTATGGTTTACGGAATCCAGCTTGAGGCTTGTATTGTTGTCGGACATAACTTGCCGCACCTTGGAGCCGTTCAGACGCCACCGCAGGTGCCCTAGCCGCTGCTGCCGCAACGCCTCGACTGTCAGCACCGACAACATTGCTTTGGGCAGCACCAGTGCTCGACTGGAACATGTGGCTTGGGTGTGCCAAGTCGATGTCGACACTACCTTGGTTCCAAGCGCGCATAGCCAAGAGGAAGGCTAAGACGAAAGACCTCTGAATTATTATCTCATCATATTGAATGGGACAAGCTCACCGAGCCAGAATGCCCCAAACGCCGCAATCAAGATTAACTCCTCCTGCCCCTGCGACAAGACTCTGTTTTCCCCTTCGGTTCGGTGGTGTTTCACTACCCTGTCTTCAGATCAGCTTGCTGCCGGAGATAAATCTGATATTGGCATACAATACGATAAGTGCTCCGATCGCTAAGATTGTCACTGATGTTTGAGTCAGATGAATAACCTCTGTAAACGATCATTCGTTAAAATACTACTCTAAGCGCCCAAAATATAACGATACTTGCGAATCGAGTGGGGCAAAAATTTCATGATCATATGGCCCATCACCAGAGCAAAAATGCCTGCACATTACGCTAAATATACCATTCGCATATCATGAAAACCCATGCACGCACCTTTGAGAACATGCCTGACCGGGTGGTCTGTAAACAGAGCCATTTCGTGACGATAGAAGTAAGAAAGAAGTGGAAAATGGGTAGGTGGGAATCAATGACCAGATGCTCCTTGTATTTTCGACCAGCAGCAGACAATGAGGCCGAATTACCCTGGATTACCCTTCTGGTTCGAACACGAGGCACACATTTCATTCTCCATCAATTGTTCTACGTAATAGTTCCGGGACCAGCCGACATTGGCAAATCGTGTGTACCAAGTACTCTACAATAAAAGTACAATCAGAAAATATCGTGGGCTCTCGTTCCAACACGTCGAATCTGCAGGCATACATAGAAGTATGTATGATTTCCAATGTTAACACCTAGGCCGGCATGTGAGTGACCATAGGCTGGCCACCATTAATACCTGGCTGAACCACGACGGAGTGACCAGGCATCTGTTGTACATGATATGCTCCCATCATTGGATATGGCTGACCGTATCCTCCATACATCGGGGTTCGCGGGTATATGGCTTCAGTGGGGTATCCTGGAAATTCTCCAAACCAGCCTAGCTGTGAGATATGTTCCCGCCATGCATAGTACCGGCCACAAACGACCGCACGCGACGTAAGCGTGATCAGGATAATGAAGAAGAATACAACTGCGATGGAAGACTTCAGTAGATGCACTATGAACGTAGGAAGTGGAGCATACATAACACGAATAAAGTCCACGATAGGGCTTCAGTGACCTTCATTTGGTAGCAATATGATCGCGAAGAGACTAGTGTTATGTGAGTGCTGAGCTTTGATACGTGCAGAAATGTCGCATTGATCACTTACTACTTCCTTTGGTTGTAGGCTGCTGTGTTTGGAGTGGGTAGCATTGCTGATATCCGATCACATCCCTTGAGCGTGGAGTTCATAACCGTTCATGCATCGAGAAACTATGGACTTACGTGGACCATGCACCCAATGCTGTTGATTCGAACCGATAAAGTTAGTCGGAGAAAGAAGGGTAAAGGGTAGCACTGCCAGCTTACCTAGCCACAATACACCGACGATGAAGTGGAGCGTCACCTCCACTATCGGCTGCGAGAACTGCATTCTGTAAACGCATAAGCTAATTAGGGCAGATCAGTAGTGCGTCCAACTCACATCCATAGAAATGCGAAGATGGTGGCTGACGGTGGAATCAGGGCGAAGATAACGAAATCACCTATAAGACGATTGAGGCATCCATATAACCGATAAAAATGAGGCGATACATACGATTGATATGCGGGAGGAATAATCTTGCGAAGTTGGCCGACAATCCGAGGACAGCCGCAGAGAGCAGAAATGCAGTTGCTGGATAGCATCGATTGATCAATCAATTAGGGTCGTGGATTGTGCATGAGCGACATACCATATCCAATGCGCCTCATGGTCACAAACATGACAGTCATGACTGAAAAACCTCGTTAAGTTTCAGGTATAAGGTCGTAGTTACGTGAATTGAAGGTATGTCGTGTCGAAACAATGAGGAAAGAAGGAGAAGGTAACTGAGCATGCAATATGTATATGATATAAACGTTGGTTGAAGGATGATTCGGATGAATTCGATGATTGAATGCTATATTTGGCTATCAATATAGCTGCCTATAACCAACAATTGGAGTGCCTCGTGGTATCCTTCAGGCGCTCAAACGCGACAACGACATGGCCCTGCAGGCAAAAACGGAGAGTGTGTCGATTGTCAATTACATAGATATTAGTCGCCATGAGTGGTGTTCAGAACGAAAGTGCACTCCGTCACTCGTAGGCTACTTCCGGCCCGCAAGACGGATGCGTTGTCAGGCGACGCTATTGAAAATCATTCAAGAATCAAGAGAATATCATGATATTGACAGTCCCGTGCTATAGTACAAACTGTATTTATTAGTTTTCCCAAGTAAACGCAGATCATGACAGTCTATGCCAATAAAACCCAATTGTGAAACGTATACAGCGGTCACCGCCTGGGTGACGCATTCCTCTTATACTTGTCCGACGTGCGTGTCGGTGCTGGGACTTGAGCTGACCATCCGGGGTAACGTGAGTCCCCGCGTCTTGTCTCATTCTCCCAGGGTGCTGAGGCTTTCTCATCGTAGGTCTTGCCTCTTGATCGTGACCGACTACTAACGGGTGCTGGTAACTTGGACATACTAGTCTTTCCGAACCACGGGTATTCAGTGACCGCAATGTACCACACATTGCGGTTGACGCGGAAATGATGTTTTACCGCGAGCGCCAGCAAGAACAACAAAAACGCCAATACTGTGGTAGCTCGTGATATGCTCCAAGATATGGATTCAAATCACTTACTGAGAATAAGATTGAAAAGTGAGAATGCCTCTAGGACCCGATACTGAGCCTGGTATGTCTCTGTAGAGACTTGGGGACGAATGTCAGACTTCTCTATGAACGGACATACTCTTGTAACTTACACCCAGGAACATCGATGGGAGAGGTCTCTGCATCGGATGAATAGCATTCTACGTTGGCGTTCTCCGAGTCAGAGCTTGCTAGGAAGGCACCCAAAGCTGGACCGGTCAATCAGCGTGCAACCGCCATTAAGCCCGTGATCCGCGTACCAAGCCAGAAAGTCCCAAGCAGTCCGAGGCATCCGAGTTCGATTCTCGTGGAGATCGGATTGCTGGTCCGAACCATGCTACATCCAAGCCTGTAGTCCCAGTCAATGCCGACGCGCCGTGTGAATTTTACATCAACTCACAAAATGATGAGAATGAGCATGCTGGCACTACATACGAAAATGGTGAAAGGAACGAAACGAGCTGCCTTCGCGTAAGTTACGATCTATGGAAATATGCAGCAAACTTACTGAGATCTGTGATGACCAGTAGACTCTGGAAGTGAGCTGCAATAGCCAGGCAGATCACTGTCCAAATAAAGACTACGCCTGCCGTCTAGTGAGCAAGGCCGTAATAGACCCCATGAATATGAGTGCTAACCGTAAATACAAGTTCTAAAGATGTTAAATTTTGATGGCATCGCTTTCCCCGTGAATATTCTTGAGATAGAGAGTGTAGGGAGTCGCTTGCGACGGGACGTTTGGCGTTCCCGAGTATAGTGATGCTGAGGAGGCTGGTTATGCTGGCGGGTGGACTGATGTTGGCAATTCAGGGGAAGTGGACGTGCGGGCCTCATGATATAGTACGGAAAGTATGCGTACACGAGGTGGAGGGGCGTTTGATTCTCGTAAATCTAACTTGTGACGGCGTGGCGTGTACCGTGCAATTCAAGGCGTGGCAGACCTCGACGATCAGGAATCCGGGGGAAACACGAGTCGTGCGTCCGCTCAAACGCAGCAGGAAAGCCAGCCATTCTTTTAACGACCGAAAAAATCTCGGCCTTCTAAGCAATATTGTGGAAGACAGGTACCAATCCACGTAAACGCCTCGAGGCAGATCACTTGACATAGTAAGTAGAAACGCCCGCAAGTGAATTTTCCTTTTCTACGCTACAAACAACGTACAAACATGTCAAGATCAACGTTTCGATATCTCATTTCGGAGCATCTCTCCGATGCTTGCAAACTGAGCCAGACATTCAGGATTTCGCAGTGTAGCAGAATTCACACTCGAAATTTGGGCTCCATTGATGATCTGGCCAATTTTCATTACCACGAATCCTTCATCAAATCATAAGAGCAATACCTTTTTAACTGGAATTTCAACGCGCTTCCCGTTCAAGGTATAAGGGATATCGTCGACCTGGATTATCTATTAAGCCCCCGCGGATAGTCAGTCAACGTTCCGGGGGACTGATAAAAATGGAACACACTCGAGCAGGAACATGGCGTGGGCTCCGTCGTGATCTTATTTCCGATCTAATCTTCTGCTCCATTTCTATTGATAGCGTCCGCTTGCCATATAGCTTAACGAACAGAATCACGCGCTCATCTGTGCCGTCTTCAATGGACTGCGCCACAACCAATGCATCCTCAATTGTGTCGTTCGCGTTCCGCTCTTCAGAAAACGAGAAGCACATTTCAAGGACGTTGTATATTTCAGATGATCCGAATCGGATCCCTCCAGGATTTCTATGAA